CTCTTCACAATAACAGCAACAATGTTTATATGGGGTAAACTGAAAATCAAATTAATTATACAGTAAATTTGGCCCTTGATGAAACAAATAGCCATGTGCAATACCCGAAGCATAGAAATAGCAAAAATAACCTAAGTTGCTGACAAAAATATTATTGCCACATACCAAATCCATAGTACACATGATCCTATATGATATGTGCTGTACTACTTACTCATTGCTGTAGTATATAGTTGTTTTTATTTCTATTGCTGTTCACCACCACCCACAAATAATACAGTTTTTTCTAGTGGTGAGCAGCTCTTGTATTTTCTTTGTAGAGTGCATTGTGTCAGATGTGTGTCGATCAACAGCAGAGTCAAAATCAGCCATGTTTAGTATCTAGTACTTCTAGTACTTCATTTTGTCACTTTTGGAAGTTAATTCTTTGAAAATTCTATAATTAGTTTGGAGTGTGGACTTTAGTTTAGTTGTTTTGAGTGAAGTTTTACATTTAGAGACCGCTGCTGACATATGGAGTTTCTCTTACAGTGCACATGTATGTGTGTGTGGTTTATGATCTGTGTAACAGGCTGATTAGGTTTTTATGAGGTCAGAGGTCAACGGGAGCAGAGAAAGGTGACCTTTCCGCTTCGAGGTCAAATTGAGGAGAGAACTGTCACAACTGAACACTCTCACTTTTACTGTCTCATCCACTTGAATTTATGCCGTCATGCCTCCTCCTTTCTTCCTGTTACATCCTCCTTTTATTCCTTTCAGGAGGAATCCAGCAGAATGTTTCACTCATTCGTCACATTACATTGTATTTGTCAGCTCAGGGAAGGAACCAAACTGTTCTCCTCTGTGTTAAAAACCAAGAAAGAAGAATGGTTTTACGTCGTGGAAATGCTCCAAAGGAGTTATGGGATTTTACATCTGGGCCACAGGGAAATTCTTGTGGTGTAGTAACCAGTGAGGTCATGATTATTTTTAAATATGTACTTTCATCAGAGCCATGTGTCTATATGGGACTTCCCAGTTGAATTGTGTTGATTTCTGCATCTACAATAGCAGGTGTTCTGTCTTTAGTCACGTTTGGATGACACGTCCTTCACATCACCTCATTTGGGCCTCATCGTGCAGGCACTTTTTTGGAGGTAATAAAAGCTTTCAATAACTTGCTGTGCTGTACTGTAGGTTCAATCACTGTTGTGGTACAATATTGGCTAATAGAATAGGAAAAATGTCTTTAAAGCTGCTCTAATCAATATTTTATATAAACAGAAGATCAAATGACTAAGTGCAATGAAATGGAAAAGGTTGGTTGTAGTGACAAACCCACAAAGATCTCTGCAGCTCCTCTCAGCTCTGTGGAGCTTTTTTTTTTTGCAACTCTCATTTAATTGTTTTGTTTTTTTGTCTTTTACCTTTAGCTTTTTGTTCACCCTCACAGCTGCCATAGCATTTTCAGCTGCTGCCATCAGCCGATTCCAGTGTCAGTGCTCTAACCACCCCCTGCACACTACCTACTCAGCACCAAACAGCAGAAAGACAACGTTAACAACTATCTGATGAACAGAGGGTTTCCACATGAGGAAATGCATGTGAAATGCTGCACCATATTTGACTAACCAGCACTTCAGGCCTCTCCCCAATAGCTCTTGAACCTTCAAAACATACTACACCCAGCTAGGGACTTTTTCGAGGGGTAGATTTATGCCCTGCTGGAAACACAGGTAGAGGAACTAAGTTCCTCAAAATGTTCCTGTTCCCCGGAGAAAGTTCCTCTGGTGGAAACAGTGCTATTGTGGAGTACTTAGCAGTTAAAAGACAAATGTTTCCCTCAGGAGTTGGTATAGAACACAAACAGCTAAAAAGTGAATGAACACTGGATTTAGATTTGCCAGTTTGAGCAAACATATGACTCCATGAATGATAGTCTTACTCCATAAATGGGCAAATCTTTGCTAACAAGCCTACAACATCAGCATAAAATTGATGTAAGGCCAGTGTTGTGTTTGCCCTTGTTCCTGCTAATCCCAAGAAGCACACAAAAAAAAATCTATTGTTAAAGGTTTTTAAGTGCTGCTCATGCATAGTGTGTTCCAGAGCTTTTATTCTACAAAGAGAAAAGCTTTTATGAAATTGACATACTTAAGCTTAAACTGCTATTGTGCTACGGCAACTGGCAATAATGTAGAAAAACTGACTTTACCTTTACAGTCTAACATTCTGTAGCTTCTGTCTGTCTCCCATCACACATGCTCCCTTTTCTTTCTGTCTGCATTGTATTCCTCAGTTTTATATTATAATCCTGTTTACTCTCTCTCTCTCTCCCTCTCTCTCTCTCTCCTCATCTGAACCCACTGAACCCTCTCCTCACCGCACCCTTTCTCTCCACTCACTTCCTGTTTAGAGGAACAATTAAAGGATTGTTCCTACAGTCCAGGGCACTAAGGCCCTGATCTAGAGCAGCCACCAGGTCAGCTGAGAGAGACCCATGTAAAACATCATTTATAAGACCTCCTTGAAAGACAACATTACCGTGCCTGTAAACAACAGGTTATGATAGAAGAGCACTTTATGCGGGAACACACATGATGGGCTGATTCCCTCAGCTGCTGCTGGACAGGCAGAGATAGTCGGCGACAAAAATATGTAGTGCAGAAGTGTGAGGATTGTTGCTGAAAAAATAGCCATTCAATGTTGAGAAACTCTAACACATCTTTTCAAGTAAGATTGGACTGACCATATATAGGTTTGGTCATATAATTTTAGCTTAGTGTGGTGGTTGTTTGCCTACAGTTTTGTATTTATTGTAAAATTTATCTGCTGTCTGTGCAGTACCATTATGTCACACTCATATCTTGGATAAATTATTTCATTTTGTTTCTGTAATGCCAGACTTTTGGGATGACACTGCTATATCAAAAATATTTCAGAGACTGTAAATCTACCTCTCTGTGTTATTTTAACAAGTAGCTCAGTGAACATGTCTACATGCATACTAGTGTCCTGGTTATAAGGTCTTGTCAAGGTTTTGAGAAGCCAGGTTATGCAGCCTGGAGTATTCTGACAGAAATGTAAATGCCATGGTTTCTGAACATTTTCTCTTCTTACAAAACAAGAAACCCCTGTACACAGATGGCCATTAAATTGGATACTGTTATGATCATGTATAAGAGAGATTAATACCCATAATTCTCTGTGTAGCTGTCTCTGTATTTTGGTATATTCTTATTCCTAAAGTCCAAAATGATTCAAATAGCTTATGCACTTTTTAACAGAAGAAAGAAAAGAAATGCATCAAGCCTAAAGCCTATTTTTACAGTTATCATTACTATTGCTAGTAGAGGTTGTAGTTATTTTGTTGGTATTTGTTTTGGTGTTTTTCAGATATATCAAAAATAAAAACAGAAGCAGGGTGTTTAAGTTCAGCCAACATTGTATGTCATTCTACATTACTTTATATAAAATTTTATAATAAAAGATTAAAATTCCCCCCAAAATACTACAACTGCAAAAGTCAGAGGAAAAGAAAAATGTCAAACCCTCAGAAGCTACTGTAAAACTTGTGTGTTTTTACTTGATAAAGAATTTGAATGAGTAATCCATTATCTAATCATGTCGGCACTAGTGGAGGAGGAAGAGGAGGAGGCAATCTGTGTGGAGGCATTTTCCCCAAAGGAAATTTTGACAGAAAGTCAAATATAAATGGTGAATCACGTAGACATAGCACAGAGGTTAGGAGTATACTAAAGAATTTAGTTTGCCTTGTAATTACGCACAGATAAAATCACAAAACTCTTCCCACAGCACAAGTTTATTGGAGACATAATTACCACAAATCAGAATACATTTTTGACACTCTAAATCAGGGGTGGGCAATTCCAGTCCTCGAGGGCCGCTGTCCTGCTTGTTTTCCAACTATCCCTGCCTGACCTGCTGCTGATTACCTGGCTCAGGTGTGTTCAGCCAGTCAGAAGCTGGAAGATACCAATTCACTTTATCTTCCCTCACTCCATTTTCATCTAAGATGGTGTCTTCCAGCTTCTGACTGGCTGAACACACCTGAGCCAGGTAATCAGCAGCAGGTCAGGCAGGGACAGTTGGAAAACAAGCAGGACAGCGGCCCTAGAGGACTGGAATTGCCCACCCCTGCTCTAAATGAAAGGTAAACACCATTTAGAGTCGTGTTACTTAGCTGGATTTATTTATTAGATTTTTTTCTGTTTATGTAAAAGTCCCGCATTCCTACAAAAGTATTAGCATCAAAATATACCTAAAGTACCAAAAGTAAAAGTACTCATTATGCACACTAGCACATTTCACATTAATGGATATCATATTATTGGATTATAATTGTTTTTGTATTATTGTGTACATCATATAATATTGCAGCTGGTAAAGGTAGAGCTAATGTTACTTATAATTTGAATTACTGCTTTAGCTTGTACTGTAATATTTCCACCAGGGATCAATAAACTCTTATGATTATACTGTATATTGTGGTAATGATCTGATTCTGAAACATGACTAGAGTTATAAAATAAATGTAATAGAATAACAGTACAAAGGTTTCGGTTGACAGGGGAGGATCCAAAGACAGGTAACGACCCTCACTGATACTGGGCTGTAACGACTCAGTCGTTAATGGGCAGTGTTGGCCTTCTAAGGACTGAAACCACACCGAGGGGGATAAATATCTCCGACTCAACACCAGTCAGTCAGAACTGATGAAGCCTCTTGGATGAGAGGTGAAACTAGAAATCCAAGTCCAGTTGATTTCCAAGGTTATTTGCGGTTTACTATGACCTGGATGACTGAGAATCTGCACAGATCAATTACAGATACCTCACAATTGTACTTAAGTACAGTACTTGATTAACTGTACTTTCCAGCTCTGACAACAAATTTAGTAAACAGAGAGAGAGAGAGAGAAATTAACAACCTAAAAATTAACACCCTAAAGTGATTATGGATCGTTATTTGATGTGGGTTCGTCTCTGTTTACTTTGCAGGCAGAGCGACGGGCGTACAGAGAGGCGGAGATAAACATGATGGACGACCTATCAGAGGCTGATTTTCAAAAAGAGGAGGAGCCGGCCAGTCCGGCCCCACCCCCTTCACAACAACATACAGATCCCGCCTCTCCGACAGTCGCCGTGACGCCTGAACCAGTCGCCAGGGGAGACCAGGCCACGCCCAGTGAGATTGAGTACCAGGTACATCAACCAGGTGTATGGTTGAGATGGAAACAGTTATTAACAAAATAATCCCACCAAAAGGCCCATTAGTTGCTGTTCTGGAGCTTTTAACCATGTTATGTGATTTTCTTCGGCAGACAAAAAACAAACTCATTTTTTTATCTGAAGTGAGAAAAGTTACTGAATTACTCAAAAAAAAAAAAAAAGAAAAAGGAAATTTCACCTCCGTGACACCTGGGCAGTAATAGAAGGGTCCATTAGTGTTTACCACGTTAGAGCAAAGTAACAACTTTTGGCTTTACTGATGGACAAAATAATATATATTATTAGGGGAATAAAAAGTATAAATCTTTTGTGTGTTGTCAGTGTTTAATTTTCTTCATGTATAAATTTAGTTTTCTGGTTTTTATATCTTCTTCTCACTTCTTGATCAAGATGACTCAGTAGGTGCAGTATTAGTACTGAAAGCCACACATAAAGTGAAGTCAGACATGTTGTGCTTTTGGACTGACTAACATCCGCTTTTGGCCTGACCTGACCTGTTGCCCTTTTCCTTTATTCTACATGTATCTAACTTTTAGACACTAACATTCAGTGTAAAACAAGTTTCGCCGCTGTGATTTTAGTTGAAAACTGGAGCTAAATTCAAAATAATTCTTACAATACTTTTGTGTTGCAGAAATGTGAAACTTTCATTCTGTAATCACAGCAACCTAAAAGATTTTCCTTGTTTAAAAGCTTATAGATATCATCGTACAAACTGAGCATGAAACATGTACCTGTCTTGACATCCACCTTGTTTTCTGTGCCCACAGGATGGCCGAGGCTTTGGCATTGGTACACTGGTTTTCGGGAAGCTGCGCGGGTTCTCTTGGTGGCCTGGCAGAATCGTTTCCTGGTGGATGAGCGGCCGGAGTCGAGCTGCTGATGGCACACGTTGGGTCATGTGGTTTGGAGACGGCAAGTTCTCTGTGGTAGGTGCCGTTAGGTTCATGATGGTGGTTTAGTGACTGTTGATTTCAAAGACGCATTGAGACGACCTGATGCTTTTCTACTGAGCATAAAAGAAAAGAAATCCACTCATAGAAAGAGAGAACTGCTGTTACGATCTTTTTAAGTAGTTGTGCTCTTGTACTTTGATTTGTTGAAAGTTGATCTTTATTTTTTCTGTTTTCTTTTGATTTATTTGAATTAGAATTAAGTATAAACTCCCATTAAACAGATATCTTGATCCAAAGCCCCTTGCCAGTTTCAGCCATTTTTCCTAAAATGATACAGTATGTACTTAGTGTGGAACTCTCCAGTGATTTGTGGCTTTTATTTGAATTGTGAAGTGATGATCACTATAAGTTCTTGTTTTGCAGGTATGTGTGGAGAAGCTGATGCCTTTGAGCTCTTTCTCATCTGCCTTCCACCAGCCCACCTACAATAAACAGTCCATGTACCGGAAAGCCATCTTTGAGGCTTTGCAGGTAACAATCCCACAATGTAAACTCCACTCCTTAATGTGAAGACGTGCGTGGTTAATTTAGTGCTCATTTTTAATGCCCAATAAATTCATGTTTTCTGTTGCTGCACTAATTCTGGATAAAATCAGACCAAAATATCAATGTACAGGTCAAAAGTTCACATTTTACTCATTCTCCTATTATATAATATTGGTATTTTGCATTTGTGGAGGTGTTGTTTTCAACTAGCTCTGTCCAAAATTTATAAGTGGTAACATGTGGGTATAGTAGTTTAATCTCACTTTTTTAGTTTTTTCCAACAATGCCGTATTTTTTTTTATTTTAATCAGCACAGAACACTTACTCATTTAGAGCCTATGGTGTGCTGTTCCTTTTAATAAGGATTTCTAAAGTCAATTTGGCTAAGGATGCTCTCTTGTTTCCTCACTCTGTGCTCCTCCTGCAGCTTCCTCAGTTCTCGCTCCTCAGAGGACAAATAAGAGTCTTGTGACATCTCGCTCAATCCAAATGACTTTCAGATTGAATGAGGAGTAAGGAGTGATCACATAAGAGAATTGGGATATACCCTGTGTTTATTTTGTGTTTAGGTGGCAAGCGTACGAGCAGTGAGGCCAGTTCCTTCCTGTGATGCCAGTGACGATGCAGACGGGGTGGAGATTCAGACCAGACAAATGATAGAGTGGGCCATGACCGGCTTCCTACCCAGTGGTCCGCAATCTCTGGACCCTCCAGAGGGTACACAGGGCATCTCTTCTCTCATTGGACCATTTGTTAATAAATAATTCACAGGGATAATTGTCTAAAACAGCCAGAGAAATTATTCATTAGAGTGTTAAAGCTGAAGAGTCATTACTTCAAAAGGTAAACTCACTTTGTCTGTTACTAGCATATGATAATTAAAAAATCATTACAACTGTGTTACTTCCATGTCTTCGCCTCACAGAGGAGCAAAATCCGTATAAGGAGGTGTATCCAGAAATGTGGTCAGAGCCTGAGGCAGCGTACACCCCTCCACCTGCGAAGAAACCTCGCAAGAACTCAGCTGAGAAAGCAAAGATCAGAGAGGTGATCGACGAGGGGACCAGAGGTAAATATGCAAACACTCATTATTGTTGAACTAAATCCCTAGGAGTTCTAAGCTGGATAAGAGCTGGGTTATTTGGTGAATTTCTTCTACACTAATATTCTGTACACTATGTACAGAATATTACAGTCTGTCAGAAATAGACTATTTATAGAGCTCAGAAATGAAGACTGTTTTGTTATTTAGAACATTTACTTTGCGGGTAGAAGAATTTCACATGATACTGTGACTACACATTGTTTATATAAATTTTTGACTCCTTTATGAACTGTCTGTATGCGTTCATATTCAAAATGAGATGTTGATGTGTTTTTATGTATTTTTTGTTCTAGAGAGACTCATATATGAAATCAAAAAGAAAACCAGAAACATAGAAGGTAAAAGATTTTTTCATGCATCATCCTTAAATGTTGATTTGAAATAAAGAAGTGATGTATTAATTGGATTCTTTACAGAGATGTTTTATACAGTGTAGTTTAACACCATATACTGAAATGACTTAAAGCTTATTTTACCACCTGCCTCTTGCAGCAAATAATATTTTAATGGCTGCTAAAGAGCTTTAATAGTCACAATTTGTCAAAACATAATAAAACATCCCTGTAAGTGGGTTGGAGATGTGACAGATCTTTAAATTTTAGATCACTATTTAAGAGAATATCATCTGCAATATGCTTTTTTAATCAAAATGTTTACTCCCCATTCTCAACCAATATAGAGGGTAACTTCCATTGCATCTTGAAATGTCATTGCACCATTTATTGGGCTGTTATCACAAGATTAATTTATATATAACCATATTATTGTTACTTGTCCTCAAGGGGAAATTGATGCCTTATTAAAATCCTAAGTGTTATATTTAATTTATTTTGATGTCGGTCTGTGTTTGTTCAGATATCTGTATCTCCTGTGGAAGCCTCAATGTCTCTCTGGAGCATCCTCTCTTTGTAGGAGCAATGTGCCAGGGTTGCAAAGTAAGAAATCCCCAGAAAACCTTAATACCGGTATTATTATTATGGATCCATATCATGATGTTCTAATTGGGTGTTTTTACAATATTCTGTTGTCTAAATTAATCTATATAGTATCAAAAACTTAGTGAAAGATGACCAAAACAAGTTCCCTCTTCGGATTGCTTGATTTCTCTGACCAACAGTCCAAAACCAAAGATATTCCATTTACAATTATGTGAAATAGAGAAAAGAACAAAAAGAACAAAAGTACAAAAAGAAGAATTTATTTTGATGGACAACCACGACACTCTCACACTGCCTTTCTCCTGATCCTGTTCTGCAGAACTCATTCCTGGAGTGCGCCTACCAGTATGACGATGACGGCTACCAGTCCTACTGCACCATCTGCTGTGGAGGCAGGGAGGTGCTCATGTGTGGTAACAACAACTGCTGTAGGTCAGTGGAGTACTGTGTACACTGCTGAGGCTGGGACTGGCCAGTAGCATTTGGTTGTGTTTGAGGCCAGAACAAGGTTTTGGATCTCACATCAACAAAAACAGTATTTCCATAAATGTCAAAACGTGGTGCATCGTTCCTTTATCACTGTAGCAACTGAGACAATCAACTCAGGTGGAACAGATTTATTTGTATAAATACAGTTTATTTTGGCATCTAGGATTTGACTTTATCTCTGCAAACTGCAGAGATCAGGAGTCACAATAATACACTTCACCCCAAAACTGCATTTGGTACACAGCTCTAATCATGTGGGGCCAAAGGGTGGCATCAGCGACCTCAAGAATCTTTTTGGCCACCCCTGGTGCCACCCCTGCCAGAGTCAAAATGTGATGCTTGTCAGTATTAATGAATGAAATATGAGAAACAATGACAAATTAAATACAACAAACAGTTTTGATGCATTATTGATATTGATATTGGTCAAATTATCATCTATGCATGATATTTGCATTCATTTATCCAATTGTGTTGTTGTGGAGTATAATATGCATAATATGATATACATTAATGTGAAATGTGCCATTCTGCATTCTTTTACTTATGTTTCTTTAAGAATATTTTGATGCTAATACTTTTTTTACTTAAGTATCATTTTGAATGCTGGACTTTTACTTGTAACAGAGTATTTTTACACTGAAGTATTACTACTTTTATTTTAGTCTGAGTACTTCACCACTGTTCATTAGTGGTCTAATAAAGAAATTTCAGGAAAACACAGATCTGATGGTGTGTGTGTGTGTGTGTGGTGTGCAGGTGTTTCTGTGTAGAGTGTGTGGATCTGTTGGTAGGAGCCGGCTCGGCAGCGGCAGCCATCAAAGAAGACCCCTGGAACTGCTACATGTGTGGACCCCGGAACACGTACGGCTTACTGCGACGCCGGGACGACTGGCCCTGCAGACTGCAGCACTTCTTTGCCAACAACCATGAACAGGAATTTGTAAGTGGGACCGTTAACTTATCCATATACATCAAAACAGACCGGGTACACATTTAGTTACTGATGTTGTTCTGACAGATTTTGCAGAAAAGACTAAATCATGACTAAAGCTGATGATGTGCTGCCCTGCCCTCTCCTGTCTTTATGTAGAGGTTTTTCTCATCCATGTCTCTTCTTTATTTTAACTGTTTACTTCAGGAGCCAGCCAAGTTGTATCCTCCAGTTGTGGCAGAAAAGAGGCAACCAATCAGAGTCCTCTCCCTGTTTGACGGCATTGCAACAGGTATATGTTGCAACTAACAATTATTTTCATTATCAATGACTGAACTATCTTAACAACTACTGGATGGATCACTGCGTAATTTTGTTCATCATTTATAGATGAATTGCTTGTTTTGTACCATTTGTGAGGCCGTAATCAATGTCAGCCACTGCTTCTCAACTCAGACTTGCGTGTTTGTCTTGCAAACTAGTTGTTTTCTTTAGATGATGAACTCTAATGACTTTGCCAACTGCATAACCCTTCCTCTAGCTCCACCATGAGGTTGGTGAAATATCTGAACAACCACTGGATGGATTTTAATCAAGTTTAGTATTCACATTAATGCCCCCTGCAGGAGGAATTTAAATGTCTTGAGTTTATCCTCTAGAGTCCCTGCGTCCTCATATGAGGACCGCACAGCTTGGGTTTCCAAAGCTCAGGGCTCTAGAGGTTATGGTCAGTAACTTCAAAACTAATAATATTCCAGTCAGCCTCAGCTGTACTTTGTGTTACTTGCTGTTTAGCAAATGTTAGCATGCTAAAACACTAAAATAAGATGGCAGCTATACAACGCTGTTAGGATGGCCACACACTCTTATTCATTCCTTCAGTTTGTTCATTAATTGTTCACTCTATAGTATGTCAGAAAATAGTTTTAACAAGGTTTCCAGTCTTTCCCAGAGCTCAAAGTGACATTTTAAAATTATTTATTTTGTCTGAACAACATTTTAAATGCTATAAGTATTCAAATCATGGTATTAGAAAACCAAAACTAGCCAAAATCATCACATTTGAGAGTCTGATACCAGAGAAAGTTTGTCAGTTGTTTTTTTCTAAGTAACTGACTTATGGCTTATGTGCTTATGAAATCAGGACTGTTGGTGCTGAAGGATTTGGGCATCCAGGTCGACAAGTACGTAGCATCCGAGGTATGTGAAGACTCCATCACTGTCGGCATGGTTCGACACCAAGGACGCATCATGTATGTGGGAGATGTGCGCAACGTAACACGCAAACATGTAAGTGAAAGTCTCATCTTTGCTCCTAGAATTCAGAGGCAGAGTAAATAATCATCTGAAAGATCCATGAACATTGATGCCTGAATTTATAGGACATCACAATGTCAGATTCCACCAAACTGCTTTGTAACCTCTTTTCTTTCTTCTGAAGAAAATTCATGTTGTGTTTTGTCTGTCAGATTGAAGAATGGGGACCATTTGACCTGGTGATAGGTGGAAGCCCCTGCAACGATCTCTCTATAGTCAATCCTGCAAGAAAAGGCCTTTATGGTAACAAGGGAGGGAACAAACTAGTAAAATGTTATTTTTGTTAATATTACAACTACAAACGTGTCATATTTTGATCAGTTTTTTCTTCATGTGAAAAAAAACATGGCGGCTAACTTTCTATGTACTCTTGCAGAGGGAACCGGCCGGCTGTTTTTTGAGTTTTACCGTCTGCTGCATGAGGCTCGACCAAAGCCAGATGACGAGCGGCCATTTTTCTGGCTGTTTGAGAACGTGGTTGCTATGGGAGTCAGTGACAAACGAGACATCTCCCGCTTTTTGGAGGTACAATGAACAAACTTCTGTATTCACTAAATACAGCTCACACTATCAGGTTAACACCCACAGACACTCAGATGAAGACTTCAGTGAATTATATGCATGCAATCTATGATAATCCTCTGTGGAGGTCAGGAAACCTAAACCAGACACTATTACACATTTGAACTAAAGGCTATTTTTCTAGATACATAGAGATGTTTTTATAGCAAAAAAAAGGTAGAATAACTTTAATTATTATTTATATTATCTTCACACCAGCTGTACTTTTGAGCTGACAAAAGGGCTCCTTCCATCATTAGTATGATAATATATACAGACCTGCGGTATGACACTCATACAGAAGATGTTCATCTGAAGTGAAACAGGAGTAACTCTGCTATTCCTCTCCAGTGTAACCCAGTAATGATCGATGCCAAGGAAGTCTCTGCTGCACACCGCGCTCGCTACTTCTGGGGAAACCTGCCAGGCATGTCCAGGTGATACATACACACACAGACACACAGCACTACTGTGATCTGTTCACGTTCTGGTGATTAGTTTTGAATTACAACTTTTAATTAAGATTTTACATGTGTTAATATTTCATCATCTCTTTTGCACCACTTTTTTGGTGACTGCAGACCTCTGACACCCATGGCCAATGACAAGCTGGACCTACAAGATTGCCTCGAACACGGGCGCACAGCCAAGGTATCCCCCTGTGTGTGTGTGTGTATGTGTGTGTGTGTGTGTGTGTGTATGTCTGCGCTTATTGTCATTATGCCATCTTACTTTCTGAACCAATGGAAAGCAAAGATACCTGGTTGTTACACAGGTTACATGGCCCTAAACATAAATAAGAAAGTAAAGCTGAATGTGGAAAATATTTTTATGCTCTGTGTGATGTTAGAAAAACAAAAACAGAAAAATCATTTGGAAATAAGCCAAATAAATAATGTGTGTGATGGCAAAGCACGACCTCATAAGTGTGCAGAATTGAAAACTAGTGTCTAAAAATATGAAAAATAAAAGGAAATCTTTACAGTATGTACTTCTAATTTGAGCATACACAGATGAAGAGTGTAATAGACGCATTTCCTCCTATGACTAATTTAGCAAAAAGGTACCCATCACTTTTACTGCAGTTTCCTGCTGCTGTTACATTTTTGTTCAACAAGAACTTGTAGCCAGTTTTTTAAAATCAGTCATTTGATAAGTATAAATTGTGTATTACTACACTATGTATGGTATAAAAATGTTACTCAAAAGGGGGTAGGATTAAAAAGGGGTGCGTGTGTGTCTGTTTGTCTGTGTTTGGTTCTGGATGCTAATTCCAGTTTGAGAAGTTGCGTACGATAACAACACGCTCCAACTCTGTGAAGCAGGGGAAAGACGAGCATTTCCCTGTCTACATGGACAACAAGGAGGACATCCTCTGGTGTACCGAGATGGAAAGGTACAGTGGTGTTTGCTATTGTTTTTTTTTATGTCTGAGTTTCTAATTTTACCTTAGTATATTTGCAAGTTATTGAACATGGGCATCAGTTCCGGCTACTGGACATCAAAATCTCTGGTTATAGCCACAAAACCTTGTACATCTGGATTGTTTTGTGAAGATGGTTTTGTTTATGCTTTGATTGCTAATGTACCACAGCAATTATGTTTGAAAGACACTGAAATTTTTCATTTATTAAGTAATAGGATGAAAAAAATGTACTTAGGTTAATTGTGGTATGAACAGGTTTTTTCACAGCAGGTGATTCAACATAACTAAATGACAGAAATACATTTTGTACATAACAGGCATTAATAAGAGTACATACAGTAGACAAAGTGCGGGGCTTTTTGAGTTGAGCCAATGTTATAAACTTTTTTCATAGCTGATACTGAATATTCTTAGCAAAACTGACAAATCACAACTAACTAGCATAGTGGAGGGAAATGGTGTTGCTATGTCCAGCATATATACTGTATGTCAGTGGCTGTGTCTGGTCAAAGGTGGGCTAGGATACGTCACTCTAGGGCTGCTAGTATTGAATACTTACATTACCGATTATTGTCTCAACTAATATATTAATAGATTTGTAAGTGTTATATAAATACAATTATTAGTTGTATCATCATGTCATTCTTTAAATCTTGTATTACTTTTTTGATTTTTTTGTAATTTGTTATTGTATTCATTTTAATATTTCATATATCATTATATAGTATTTTTGTTTCTTTAAAGCACTTTATATACAATTTGTATCTCAAACATACTATATAAATAATGCCCAAATACCTCAAAATATTTAATTTACAACGATAAAGATGGAAAAGCCACAAATCCTCCATGTCTGGAAAACTAAATCCAGGGAACAGTTGGCTTTTTTTTGCTTTAAAAATTTGCTTCCAGTAGTCCAGCCTGAAATAACTGAATCATCTGTGTGTGTCCAGGGTGTTTGGTTTCCCCGTCCACTACACCGATGTGTCCAACATGAGTCGCCTGGCCAGGCAAAGGCTGCTGGGACGTTCCTGGAGTGTCCCTGTCATCAGGCACCTCTTTGCCCCGCTCAAGGAGTACTTCGCCTGCAACTAGTCACACACCAACTCTTTCTCTCTCACACCCACACATGCAAACACACACAAATAGTATGTAATGACAGGCGCACACAGGTCACTACACACAGGATACAATTCCTACATGAAGGTTGGCTGATGCAGGATGACACAGATGACCGAACACACACTCATATAAAAACACACTCACACACACACACACTGTAAACGACTGCTTTCCTAGATCCCATGTAGAACATTGGCTGACCTTAGTCCCCCTGGTGCTACCTTGCTAATTTCTACACACACACACACATCACACACACACACACACATCACACTGGTGCACACATTCTGTACTGTATATCCCCACACACAACTTCCTGTTCAACCTTGAAACTGATATCTTCTGGCTTTACTTTGTCAGTAGCTGGAGTTCAAACCTTGAGAGGGTGCAAAACTGGCAAAGATGCCCCAACTTTCTGCTTTTAAAATCTCTTTTAACACGTAAACACCGATGAACCCACGTCAACACGTAACACTTAACTCTATTCATGTGTAGTGACAGTGCTGCTGGTGTATTACAGTGCAATGAACACAAACACACACACACACACACACCAGTTAATGCTCATGGTGCTGGTCAGGCAGTGATAGTCCAAATGGTGCCACTTTAATTCAACACTTGTACAGTTCTTGGTGCTCTTGGAGACTAAATGGTCTCTGGTTGTTTCAGTCACTGCAGTTTTGTGTCCCTAGCTGAGTCAAACCAAATGATGATAAGTGATGGAGGCAACAGGAGCAACAAGAGGAGACCATGAATTTTTGAGATATATTTATTTGTCAGATTTAGTGTGCAGGGAAACATCCTAAAGAATGTGTTCAGATTGGATTAGTATGAAGCTTTTACTGGCTTAACTACAACTAAATCAGATTGTAATTTATTATATTTCTTAGTGGAAGAGCTGCTCTGGAGGCAAGAATCTCAGTAGATGAGTTTAAAGCTAGCAAAAATACTTTTATATGGCAAAGAAACACCAAGAAAAGATATTCATCTTCACCGGAGTAAATCACTTTTTCCCTCCTGGAGTCATTAATTCTATCTAAATATACATGTGACAAATTCTAGGCATTCTTTAATAAGAAAAAATAACACAAGGAATATAAAATACAACAAAATTAAAGTAGTTCATATAATTAGTTTAAAACATGACCCAATTGGTACATAATCTAGAAAAGATAAGAGCTAAGCCATATTAGGGTCCATGTGTGTTTGTGAGAGCATGTTTTGTGTAAAGATCATAGTGGAAACCCTTGTGATAGTCTTTTGTAGTGTATAAAGCGCCATCTATTGGACAGAGAAACCAGTAAAGGAAGTGTACATCACAAGACCACACACTCATTGTGGCTAAAACACTCCTTTGTGTTGCGGGTCACAGTTGAGGTTATATTATATTAGAACAATTATGAAAAAGACAGAGTAAATTCAGCTTTATAATTAGCATCTTCACAGGCCACTCTCCTTTACAGTATGTCTTAGTTGTCAGAACATACACCCACTATTACTTATTGTATGGAAAATACAATAAGCACTTGAAACTTTATATTATTTTGATTATTTATTGGTGTTGTTAGGCAGCAGTTGTACATAAAGGCTAGAGAATGCTTTAGGGAAAATGCTGTGAAATACTGAACACTAGTAGCATTTTAACAATGGCTGTATTTCTCCACATATGCTGGTATGCAGTACTTTATAATGTGCTGTTGTGTTGCATTGATTACTGTTCAATGTTGCTCAAATGACTGTGATGGCGTAAAATTGGAATAGTACTGTATGTTGCTTTAATAGCCTGATAGTGGCTGTAGCCAGAAGTGTCTCGGGCCTGAGGCTGGATGTTATAGTTAATGTCTGCAGATGCATTAGACCCTCCTGTGGTAAAGGTAGTCCCAGCAGTAAACAGTCGTCAGGTGGTGGACACTATTCTAAGTCTACAGTTGTCATTATATTGGTTGGAAGGTTGTGCTCAAATAATCCTAAACCAAAGTCTTGAAAAAGAGCTATACTGTGAACTAACAATGAAAGGCAGTCTTTGTTTGTAGCTTGTCTAATTTTGCTTAGTTTGTTTCCACCCATCATGAGAGTGGCTTTAATTTTGTATGATGCATTATGCGCCGTTTCTACATCCTGCTAAGCTAGTTTGTTAGAATGCTGACCTGCCAACAGCATGGAAAACCAGCCAACATCATCCTATTTTGCTCAATTTTGAGTTTTTGAGACTTCAAGATATATTCGTTGCTTATGGTATAGTCACATGTGCATGCGTATTTTATAGTCTTATGGAGTCGGTGCAGAAATTTCATTTTAATGTAGCTAGACATTTACATTTTTTTATTTCATTTGAAGCCTTTGCCAGTGATAAGCAAGTAGCAGACTGTGACTTTAACAAAAATATTTGGCCTCTCAAAGAAAGTTAAACTTCTTAAAATTCATTGCCAATATACAAGACTTAAGTACATCCCAGAAAATATATATATAAACATATATTAAGAGAATAATCTGTCTCAAACACAAATAGATGGCAGTCTCACAGCAATACAAAGTCAGCATGTACACTGCACTGATAACTCAAATTTAATTTAAGAATTTGTCTTTTTGATTTTGAGTCCCTGTTGAAGTGTTTTGGTTGGGTGTGGCTAACATGTGTCACAGAAATAGCCTGCTAATAGTTTTCTTATCCTAAAGCAAAAACAACATTAACAACATGTTCATTCAATCATAGTGAAGCTTAGGCCGCTGTCATTTTAAATAAGCTGCTGTAGCTCTGTTTGATACAGTCTGTGACACAATCCTGCAACAAACCTAAATGAAATCAAATATTCATATAAATTATATTTATTATATTCTAAGTTTTTAAAAACTAACTGATGGGTTTGTTTTTTTAACCTACTAGGACAAAACATGAGGGTTTTCTGTCCCTTTAAAAGGTACCACACTAATATTTATATATTTAATCCAGTGAGATTATTTCTCCAGAGCAGCTCTCCCTCTGAGCGCACAAAGGTTAGGTCTGTGTTGACTACCGTATACTGAAGGCACATCCCACTTCCCTTAATTGCGTCCACATTTTGCTCACTTTTGTATTTTCCTTCCTTCCCCCTAAAGACAAAGGAGGAATGGAAGGAAAGGATGTGAGGAGAGAGGAATCAAAGAAGCATGTTTTCAGATAAGACATCCATTTCTGATGAGGGTGGCACAGGTAATGGTTTGAAATAGCATTTTTATGCTCTGTCCACATATATGGAAGGGCAAGTTTTCACTGTGTACAGATGAAGCCACTGCTCAGACATTTCTACTAGCAGAAATGTTTTTTTATTTACAGTTATTTAATTTAATCGTTTATGGAGATGACTTTTTTTTTCTTTTTCCCCCTTTTTCAGAATTTACAGTATTATTTATGATTCAGATTAAAGGGGACATGACACATCATGCAGAGAGAAAGTTGTTTATGATTCTTTTATTAATCAGACGGACAGATACACTAGTTTTAATCTGATGGTGCATAATACAGTTTGATCTGTTGAGTCTATTATTTATCTGTCCACTTTGGCATAAAGCTGTAGTGATGTTGTCAAATTAGGACGTGATCACATTAGTCAGCCGCGGCTTTTGTTTGCTCTCACTTAAAGATTCCTCCTCGCTCCAAATAAGAGCTTTTCAAGATGGTAGGCCAGAGCAATTTCTGGGTCAAGCAAGAAGCAATCGATTAAGAGATTTGGGATGCACCCGGAGGGGTCAGGTTACTTGAGCAGGGTGGAAAGTAAAGGAAGTCAATGGGGGATTCATCCTGAACCTTTCCAGTTATTATACAGCTTCTCTTGTGCCTCAGCCCCAAATAACTGGTCACAGTCCACCAACCCTTGCTGTTATGCTCCTGCTTTGCTTCATAGGGATCCAAAATGTCCTCCATTTATTGTGTCGCAGCGACATCCACTGAAACCAGAGGCAGACCTTTAGTCTGTAGACACTATGCTGGTTTTCTTCTTCCTACGACTGAAACAAATAGTTCTGTATAAATAACAGATACTTCTTTACATAGAGTAAGACAGGCACAATTGTATCACCCGTCTTGGGTGTTTCTTCTGCCTTTTCGTGTCCAATGCATGCTGGGATAAACTCAGTCCCTTCATGGCCTTTAATAGGACGAAGCAGGTAAAGAAAGCAGGTTGTCATCAAGTGTTGCAGACAGTAAATAAAATATATCCAAGAGTGTTACTCATAGAGACAGTCTATGTAAACTTCCCTGTACACTGATGTATGTCTTATTTAATCAGGGCTGTCTTTTGAGAAAAACATCTCTGTCAGTCTGGTGCTTTTGGTCCTCAGACGACCGTCTTTTTCCAGGAAGCCTTCCGATCCTCTGACCTTCCTCAGATACCAGCTAACAACTGGACACGTGAAGTCTATGCTCACACACAAAAACCGACAGTAAACCAGCAGGTTCAAAGTATTTTTCCATCATGTTTACTCTCCGTTTATACAACCAACCTTCAGGTGCTTTTTAAACTCTGCTCTTTTTTACAGTGCTCTTACAGGTCACACACATACATACACACACACACATTTGCTGGAAAAACTGCTGATGTTCATGCTTCTCTAAACTCCTTTCGCTACAAAACACATCATCAACACACACATACATTCATACACACTGTGTTTTTGCCGACCGCCTGTTGCCGTCAGGCTTCCCACGGCCCTGCTGGGTGTGACATCATCACCCTGCGTCGCTTGGTGCTCCCTACCCCCACCCCCCACCCCCCAAAATCCCTCCCATCCCCAGGTGCTGCATGTCAGTCAGTCAGTGTAATTTCTGATTCCATGTTAGATTAGGGAGTAATGATAATAATAATAATTACAATAATAATCTGTATTGTGTGTGTGTGTACTGTTCAGGTTGGTGCTCAGTTCAGTTCAGTCTCAGCCTGGAGGGGAGAGAGAGGCTAGAGAAAGCATATATTACAGTTAGTATAGTGACTTGTTCTATTGTACCCAAGGATACCAGATGAAACTGAAAGTTGAAGCAATGAGCTGCAGGCCACTCTCAAACAGGAGCAAGTTGAAATAACACAGAATGTAGTGTTATAAAACAGCTTCATTAATAAATACCCTGAAATCATGCCTCAGGATCAAAAGGAACTTTCTTTAAGAGAGATCATTTTATTTCTAGTCTCATCCTTTCAGATGATTAAAAATGATGCAAATGAAACAATGTGAAAAATCTTCAGTTCAAAGTGTTTTGGTTTTATTTATTTGCACATGTTAAAGTAAGCAAAAGATGTATAAGCGACAATAAAAATTAAGGAGAAAGCCCAAAAAGCCTTATTGATTATCTCTCTGTAAGTATACAGTAGTTCACAACCTCTGAGGAGTCACAAGATGATTAGAGGGTTAAAGAAACAAATCTGTCACACAAAACACTTTACTTTTTACTTTTTTATTAGATGCCTTGACCTCCTCTGGGCTAAAAAAAAAAAAAAAAAGAGAGAGACCAGTGCAACAATCAAAAATCACCCACTCACAGGAATATTGCATCCTGTGTTGAGGATTTGATTTGATTTGATTTGATTTGATTTATTCTTTCAAACATGTAACAACAGTCAGTATGTAATCACACATAATTCCAGACATGTCCACAAAAATATTTTCAATTTGCTTATACCTAGTACATGCTTGAACGGAGTAGGAAGAAGTTAGACTTATCTAGTCCTACCCCCTAACATCATCTTATCATCATTGGTTTGAAAGCAGTATTACTACATGGATACATATTCTACATCCACACTCCCATCTGATTAATCATTAAGCCTGTTCTTGCCCATATCTTGATTGACA